GRWWAAAAGGCCGTGACTTTTGCGGCACCACARTTTATTGTGCTGACCAAAGATCCAACCCATGTACACACATGGAAAACAATTCCTACTGAAATTATTCTATTTAAATATCATAATCATCACAATCCACAATCAATTGATAATATTAATTGTCATCATTATCAGTTTATCAYATCTATCAACGTGATAATAACTATTGCAGTTGTCATTTCAGGTTCAATATCTACTGCTGAAGGGTCTGCACTTGTAAAACTTGGAAATACAACTGTTGTTTGTGGAGTGAAAGCTGTAAGTAATTTACTTTATGGCAGATTTATACAGTGCGCACAACTTGACACACAATGACTGAATCGCACTGTATCACTGTCTCTAAGATTAGACCAGTGTGGTCCACARTATCCAACTTGCTAACWTCAAAATCCTGTTGTTGCCAAATGACATACACTAAATCAGGATTTACTCCTATAATTTTTTTTTTTTCAAATAGGAACTTGCAGAACCTAAATTAGATAGTCCAAAACAAGGATATATAGGTAGGTTTATCTATGTTGTATAGCCTGTGTAGTTGGCCCATCAGGAGGCAAGAGTCCATCCTTTCCAGCCCCCCTTCCTTGTCCACCACTGTGTAGGMTTTTGCAAATGTTGGTGTTTTCGAAATACACTGCCAAAATCAAAAAACCTATAAACATGATCGCTAAATAAATTGTTCAAAAATTGTATTATATTTCAGTTCCCAATATAGATCTRCCACCTCTTTGTTCGCCTCATTTCCGACCAGGACCTCCTAATGAGCARGCACAAGTACTTAATCAGTTTTTTGCTGACATTATTACAAAGTAAGTTCATTAACACCCAACGTGTTTGGTCTTTCCCTGTGCTTTTTTGAACAAGAAGAAAACATTATATCTGCATCTAATATAATTATAATAAATAATATTTTAGGAAAATTTGATTTTTTAAAGCCAATTAGTCCTGTGGGACTGACAACCGRCTTCCCATGTTCATATTTTGAAAATTCTAAGAATGTGCTCCGATAGAGCTTAGCAAAAGATAGAGTGGTGCTGAGGCAGGCTCTTTTTTTTACTGCCCCTCCTTCAAAACTCTTTTTGCTAAGGTGCTAAAATGACACAGGAAGCCCAGAATCCTGTCTGTCCCAAATAGGCAAAAGAGTGCCTCACTGAAGGCTACTTTACCATGGATTCAGGTCCCCATGGTAATATCTAGGAGACTCCACTTTTATACCTAAAGTTTTTCTCTATGATAGCAATATTGACAATTGTATATTAATTTATTTCTTCATAGTTCACAGATGATTAATTTAGCAGACCTTTGTATAGTTGAAGCAAAAGTAAGTTGTRAATATTTAGATTAGTAAAATAGTTGTGGATGTACATTAATGTCTAGTTAGATATCAAAGTCAAAGATCAAAGTCTCCTGTAAAGTCTGCTGTCTGACAGTTTTTTATGTGTTTTAGTTAGTTTGGGCTTTGTATGTTGACATGATCTGTCTTGATTATGATGGCAATGTCACCGATGCATGTATGGTTGCAATGTTAGCAGCATTAAAGAACAGTAAGTAAAATTGTCAATACTTTATGATACTAGAGTGCACGCCAAAAAAGCATGAAACAATTTTTAACTATCAACATCTAATAAGAATTCACTGGGGCATGAACACAATGCCAGAAAGGAAAATTGCCTTTGTTTATGCCTCACTAAATTCTTAGTTAGTTGATAACTAAATCTTATTAGGCCCTAATTTACTTAAGAATTGTTTGTGAACTGTATTAATTATATATATAAAAAAAATAAATTTCCATATTATTAATAAAAATGATGACGACAAACTACAACACAATGACTGCAATTGTTAATAACAATGCTGTGAAATACCCTTAGAAAAGACAGAACCATAACAATATTAACTATTAATTTATACTAAGATATCATTCATTTACTCTTTAAATGCCTATTTTCAGCTAGATTATATGACATTACCATTAATGAAGAGACAGAGACTCCAGAGCCATCAAAGACGAGAGATATTGCGCTGACTCTCAAATCAGAACCAGTTGCATCCACTTTTGGGATTTTTGATGAGTAAGTGTGAGAAAAGTAGGGAAAAGTGAAACAGCATGTTTAGGAAGGGTTGGAGAAATTATTGTGAAGGCCTGCTGGCATGCAAAGTGATGATGATGATGTTGATGATACCTGGGGAAAAAATCACAACCATTGAAGTTGGTTTATGATTGTGACGAGTTGATTCACCACATTATAAATTTGATTCCTTTCATGCATTTCAGCTTGACAAAACAATTTTTAAATTGAACTTAAAATTTTTTAAATTGAACTTAAAAGTTCCATTCTTACATAAAATCAGACATAAACTGTGAATAAAGTCATTTTGTTTTTTTGTCCATTTCTAGTACTCATCTTTATGCTGATCCAACTGATGAAGAAGAAAAAATATCAACAGGAACAGTAACTGTTGTGGTAACAAAAGATGAAAAACTTATCTCTGTACATAAACCAGGTAAGAAGTAATATATTGGAAAAATGAAACTAGACGCTCAAATATTGTAACTGGTTTTCTCAATGCTTTGGTATACAAACCAAACATGCTTTTAGCTTAGAATATTTATGCAATACCTTTCAAATTGTAAGCCTCGATAAGCCACAAAATTGACTGTTTCAGAGATAATGATGAATAAAACATGTGTTATACCAAATATTCATTAATACAACTTGACTACGGTATCCTCACATTGTTTTGTAATACACCACTGATTTTCTTCTGAAATTGGCTTAAGCCATTCTCTTCGGTAGTAAATTTGTTGCTTTTGGAACATTTTTCAGTCTAACATGATGTCATTTCCAACTGTGTGACTTTCAATTAAGGCACTCAAGGAAAGTTTATTTCAGTACATTTGAGCTCACAACTCACTTGATTAGCCAGCACTCAGTCTCAGTTGTCTTGTCACWGCAATTTTACTTGCATAATGATTTAATCTCAATTGATTTAATGGTATTAATCTGTGCACATAAARACCAGACATAACAATGATGACACTTTTCTAGGATGCTCTCCAATGTCCAATGACAAACTCCAAGAATGCTTCAAACAAGCCATTGTACGAGCAAGAGAAGTGCACAATCTGATAGAGACAGCATTTACACAGATAGACAGGTGACAGAAATAGTCTACCATTAAATTAATCAGGACATTGTAGATAATACAAGCTAATCTGCAAACGCTAACACCAGACAGAGATAGAACTGATAGAAAATTTCCCACACAAATCTCTGTGTTCTCACACATATTTATATGATCTTGAGCCAAAAGCTGCAACATGATTGGCATCAAATAACTATCTAAGTGGTCCTGGTTGGAGTGCCCTCACAGTAGGTATGTGTTCTRRTACTTAAACACAGACAAACACACCAATTCGAAGTTAGATAGCACACAGAAGCGTCTCGGAGATAACTCGCATTAAGTCTTACCAAACATAAGACAAAAGAGGCTGAAGAATTTGAATATTTTAATAAAAACAGTATCTGATTAGTTATACATTAAATATGTTTCTACAGTTATTTACAAATGCATTATATTTATGTGTAAACCATTCAGTTAAAAAAAAATCCTCTAGTTACCAGTCATATCCTACAGATAAAACATTATTTTCATTGTCAATCTTTCAATTGACTTTCACAAATATGAAATCTTGTAATTATATTCTGAAACAATTATATTTCCCCCTGACTACAGTTGACTCCCTTTGGCCACAGAAGCACACGGGTTGAAAATGAAATGGAAGCATCTTTAGACACAACCTTGAGAATAAATTTTAAGCATTTCAAAATCACTTGATGCATCTTAATCAAGCAAACCTTCTTGCATGAAGTTGCCCAATTTTCATATGATTTTGACTGTCCATTGAGAAGCATGTGTTGAACACTTACGAAGATACAAAAATATATATGTATGATTACAGTTGTAAAACAAAAAGCCTTTCTCAACTGGATAATCTGAAATGATATAACATAACCAAACCAAGAAGTTTTGAACTTTATTGGTGTCACTTAGTTTGCGATCTCCGTCGTTGGCTTGGTGATTTACCGGGTGCTTTTCCTGTTGAGTGTTGAACATTTCCTCCTTGTTTGACTTGCTGTTGGAGTACTTGTTGTTGGGTAACTGTCTGTCCCTGGACTTGTATGGTTTGATTTGGTATTTGTGACTGGACAATGGTCTGTGGTGAGGCCTTTAACTGAGCTTGGCCTGCAAGTAAAAGTACATCTAAAGGACCAGACAAGTGATTGTAATGTCCACACAACCAGGGCATGAAATGTTGTAAATGACTTATTAAACAATTTAAGCTTGCTTAATTCATAGAAAAACATTAACAACTACGTTGTAAATCTGATACAACACAGATGAATAGAACATCAGTGGGTTTACAAGGTTAATCAGCTGACCAAAGATGGAATACATAATACAAATATAATATAAATGAGTTTTAGACTTTAAAATTTTATTCATGGCTCACCTGGTTGTTGTATCTGGGCAGTCGGTTGTGAAAATACTGGAATGCGCACTTGAAACTGTTGTTGGCCAGCAGGTAGTTGTACAAGAGGCTGAATATTTTGAGCATTACGATTCACATTGGTKCCTAGAGCTGATGAACAGAAAATACATAATCATGATTATTATACTTATTCCATTTTAAGACARGGGATGGTAGCAACACTTGTTGATGTGTTAAAACGGCCTAATTTCATGCTTTTAATCATGAATATGTTCTGAAGTATAATACTAGTTACGGTTACAAGAAAGCTAAGAAAGGAGTTTGCTTCAAATGGGCAATTAACAAATAGAATGTGACAATCTAAACCTGGACGTTCTTAATAAATAACTCCATGCTTGGAAGTCACACTTAATTAAGATATAGGTAGCCTGCACACTGGCCCTCTGSKATCCSTGTGSATGAGGATCTTCTCAAAGAGAACTGCCTCACAATCTAACATACAGGCTATTTACAGCAATACTTTTGTCTTTAGTTGTACTGCTACTGGCTGCTTAACTAGCTAYAATAAACTACAACAGTCATATTTTACCTAAAGCTCTRGCACCAGATATCTTYCTTTGTTGCTGCCCTTGTGGATGTTGTGGCAATATTGGTCTTGYATTGATTGCAACTGCAGCTAGACCTGATGGTGGGGATATGGGAGTATTTGGTAGAATTGGTGTTGGCTGCCCTGCCAGGGTKGTCTGAGGAGATGTTTTGGCTTGAAGCTGTGCATTTATAGTAGCCACACCTCCAACTGATGCTATTTGTGATATTGGGACTGGGAGCTGCAAGCAAATATCATTTATACAAATTATAGATAACTCATTTTGACAATATTCACTTTGATTTGGGTATGAGGAAAACTAATTAGAAGCTAAAAAAAATGTAGGAGAATGCTACAAAGACAGAGAAAAGTTCAGGGSCCAATGGCACCAMAGMCTTTCCCTCCATTATTTTGGTACAAGAAACATCACTTGTTGCCTGGATTTCCTTTCACTTATGATTTTACTTACTGTAAAAGTTGTTGTCACTTGTCTTGGTTGAGCGAGCTGACTTTGTTGTTGCTGCAGAGTGGTTCCCTAAGGAAAAGTAATTTAATTAATAATATATTTCAATATTTTAGTTTAAATAAGATATACAGCCTTTTGCAAAAATTATGAGAATTGCCTAAATATCTAAATATCATAATATCCATATCCATATATTGTCTGGAACACGCGGGTTTGCTAGAATAATTCATTGTTGACATCGAGAAAATGTTCAGAACTACGGATAAGTCCGTCGCCAAAAAAAAACTAAACAACAAAGACAAGGGACTAAGGACATTGCGCGGGATCATGCACTTGATATTATGATATTTAGATATTTCAACAATTCTCATAATTTTTGCAAAAGGCTGTAAGACAACCAATATTAGCTTGGTGGATATAGGACAGGGCACAGTCGAACATAATATTTATTAGGGAGGCTAAATTGGAACGGGACAAGTTTTGAGAAGCGACAGATGAATTGGACAAATGTTTTCAAAATGGTGGGCAACACTGACGCCATGGTGCCTGAGGACATAGGAAACCCTAGTCATGACCTGCTATTGTGGGTTCAGAGCAAAACGTATAACAAAATATAATAGACATTCTTTTTGTRTTCACCTGTAATAAAGTCAATGGAGTTGGTGGTGCTGGTTGGATTGGTTGTCCTTTGATACCAGTAGTTATAAACTGTCCAGGTAAATTTCCAGGTGCTATTGATGACATACTGTTATTGACTGATACAATGGGAGTACCRCTAGCTACTGCAACAGTCACACCAGATGGGATGGTGACATTGACCCCACCATTTCCAACAGGCTGTCAATTGAATATTTATCAATTTAATTATAATTCATATTAAGGTAAACACAATGGAAAATCATTGTTGTGATTGCATCTTTATATGAGCAAGAGATTTGTCCTGATTTGCGTACAACTTTAACTTCAATTTTCTCTTAAAAATGATATTTTATCTTGAAGTTTTTTGTTTTGTTTTGTTTTTGTTTTTTGCAAAAGATGCTTTTTAGCTTATGTTGGAATTTGATAAGCAATATGACTATTTTATATATTACTTCAAATGATAATGATGATGATTATAAATTCATAATTTAATATTCAATACAATCATTATACAGCAATATGCAGAAATTATGATTTTTTTCCTCATATTTCAAGTATATTTAGAATGTATCAGAAATTATGGGATATCATTGCCAATATTTTTTTTTGGAAAGTACTAGTGCTTGACAACTTTAAAAAAATATTGACGGTAATATTCCATAATTTCTAATATATTTTATATATACTTGGAATATGAGTAAAAAATGTCATAATTTCTGCATATTGCTGTAATATTATGATAAACAATATTATATCATTCTATATCTAATGATATCTCTGATCATATGATGATCAGAAATTTGTGCTTTTATATATGTGGCCATTACTCCAGTATACTGCCCTAATCTCCTCCCATCACTATTTAGATGGCCTGCATATCATTGAGTATTTCACCTGTATATAAGTGCCCATYACTCCWGTATACTGGCCGCCAGGTGTAGCYGCYGCCTGTTGAACACTGTTATCAGTAGCCTGTGAATGCCGTCTTGAAGTAGATGAATGCTGTGCTTTTGTGTKGCTAGAAATGTTAGCTGARCTCTTGCCAGTAGATCCTATGTAGATAAACAGGGAAAACAGAGGTTGGAGCAAATTATATCACATCCAGAAAACTGTATCCATTGATGGCTGAGGGGAATGAAACAGACAATAAACTCTCGCTATCTGTATTTTGTTCTCAAAACTATCTCTTGAACTAGTACTATATTTTAATGAATTTGTTTGCACATAACTTTTGGGAGTTGACTGAGGGGCAGACAACTATTTTGGCTGGGTTTGTTCAATATTTTTGGACACTGGAAATGCTGTCTTCATATTTGAAAATTGACTGACCTTTTTTGCTGGATGTTGGAGTAGTTTTAGTGGTTACTGGAGTGTTCATTGTCTGAGATACACTAGCTGAACTTTGCTGCAGCTGCTGTTGTAGGTGCTGCTGTTGTTGTTGCTGCTGTTGGAATGCAGCTAATTTCTGGCCATACGTTTGAAGAGAAGAGAGATTAGAACTAGTAGATGCTACTGATGTTGCTGTAGTTTGCAAAGGTGCATTAGAACCACTAGTATTAGCTTCTGCTTCAGTGTTTTCACTAGAATTGGAGTCTACATGAAATGCATTCTGGGTTCCCTGTGGTGGATTTTGATTGGCTGTAGYACTGTGGTGCGCTGAGCTCTGGACTGTTTGCTGACTTGGTATATAGTTGCAAATTTTGACAGATTTACGTCCCTCCTCAGTGTATAAATCTTTAAACTGCTGAAGATATCTGTATGAAGAATACAATTGTATTTTAATCCAATAGATATACTAATACCCTACATATTAGAAACGCTTTGAATAATCCTCATTGTAAAATCAATGATTGCTAATAATTATCAACACTCAGTGTGAATATCTAATATGCAAATTATTTTAATAGTCAAAGTCAATTTCCTGCACACATTTTTGGTCAGTGCGCACATGTGTACAACAGGTACTACACATTTATCTTTAAATATGTGACAATTTTGTATATAGAACAATACAATGTTTTTCAAAACAAAACATGCTTTGTCAGCCTGATGCTATCTTCATTTGTTGACAAAAATTGCAATTTTAGGACTTGTCACAACATTCTAATAATAAAATTAATAGCAAAAACACTGGTAATACCCGACTTTAGATATTTTGGTTCAGTGACCATGCATAAAAGAATTGCAGACGAGACTCGGGGGAAATGAAAGAATAAATCAAGATTATTCATTGTTTTCCCGGAGCCCAGTGGCGTTCAAAATATCTAAAGTTGATTATTAAAGCAGAACTTACTTTTGAGCATTGAGTTTACTTCCCAAGAAGAACTGACATGCTCTTCCACTTCCTTTCTCACTACTATTTGATGTATTATTTCCATTATTTGACATATCTTCTTCTAGATAAAGTTCTCCTAAGTACTGCAAGTCAGTCGGTCTTCTTTGTATTGTCACTTTACAATAGTAGTTTCTGTTGTTAGTCTTTTCACCTTCAAGAGTTATCTCTTGCACCTTCTCTGGAACATTGTCATTGCTCAGTTTTGGACGTTCAATCATTTTAGCATACAAATCAACCTATTGATATAAGAGGTTTTTCATTAAAAATAACAATAGTCTCCTTCACGGTTACCTGCGCCATCTTGAAAGGTAGCCAGCTTTTTACATTGATGCGAGACAACTGTTGAGCGTGCATTGATAGATACCTGTGAATAACTGTCTGCAGGACGGTATGATAGAAAGTTTCTATCATTGCACACTCAACGGTTGTCTTGCTTTGATGCAATGGCGCAGCTACCTTTCAAGATGGCACAGGTAACCGTGATGGTGGCTATTTAGATAGGATGATGATTGACAATGGTTATAAGAATTCTCTCAAATAGGGTGAGTCTGCTTATGGGAACTGTCTGTCTTTCTTCATGTCCATCTGTCTTTCAGAAGTTTGTTCTAATGGCAAATGTGTCTTTATGGGTGTCTGTTTATACTCACATCTAGTCTAGAGGGCACAGTGAGAGATAAAGGTTTTTGTCGCCATGTATCTGTTGTCTGAGGTGTCTTGGCAAGTCGTAGATTAACTGGTGGTTGTGGTTTCTTGTAATGGCTTAGGAAGTCTATTAGTTTTAGGTTTTGTGGCGATGGGTTGGTAGACGTGATAGCTGTCCTCTTRTGGAATGCCTGGCTGTAGTTCTTTAGACCACTACAGAAAAACAATTATAAAAATAGATCTTACCATCACTCATCATTATTTTGTATTCAAACCTACATGTAATTAYAAGTCATTGTCATTCATTAACGGAAACTTAAAGTCTCTGTTTTGCATTTTTTCTACAAAAAATGATTATTGTTAACACCTGCTTTTCCTTTCTCAACATTATCATATATCTATCATTGACCTTAAAGTTTGCTCTGTTCTGCTCAAAAACTCTTTACTTACCTTCTAAGTGCATGGGAGTTAAACTTCTTCTGGTTGAACTGTAGCTGGTTGGTAACCAAGCTTACTTGGGGTGAAGGATCAAGACAAAGAGGCCCTTCTGTGGCCAATAATAGTTGAGCCTCAAGAGCAAGCTTATCATCTTGAGTCCAGTTAGAATCGGACATCAGCGCATTCACATCACTTACTAAAGTCTACACATAGAAATACTAAGTATTAGTGTTTATAAATTAAAGTGAGCATAGTTTACATTAGTTTAGTTGACAGATGTTTTTCGTGTTATATTTCTCTTGTTTGTTAATTTTCTTCAAAGTTCCACTGYTGCCATGCACAAGAACTATGATTTGAGTACTGTATGTTCTAACTGGCTAATTCCTACTAAGATATAGTTTTATTGTTTTTTTGTTTTTTTCTTGCACTGCTCTTTGATTTTTCCTATTKGTCCTTATTAATAATACCTGAAATGTTGGTTTAAGAAGGACATAGCTGCTTTCATAGCTGGATGAAGAGACTGTCTGTCTGTAATCTCTTACTTCAACCACAACACAACCACTATAGAACAGATTGACCTGAAAATGAAGAATGCATTGAAAGCATGGAGTAAATGTTGCCATGAAGTTTAGAAATCATTGAGACCTCATATCAATAACACGTCAGCTTAAAATACAGCTTTTGAAAAAGGTTATATTTTTGGCAATTTGTAAAATCCTTTTAATGAATATAGACAATAGTCTCCTTTTTCGTCCATTTTCCATTATCTATCATTATCATTATTATTATTATTATTAGCTATTTTCTGTTTGTGATAAGTCTTAATATGTAAAGGTTCATTTTATTGGACAGTTCTTCTTCCTGGGATTTATRAATAAATAAATATATAATATCAAAGAGGCAAGATTTTGCTGTAACTCCGAGTTTCGTGCTACGCACTCATCATTGTTTCCAACATAACTATCACGCATCATATGTAAATAGCCTAGCACTTAGCCTTTTGTTCTATACCATGTATATATATCTAGATTATAGGAATGYTTATCATTAAATACTGTCTGATGAGTGCGTAGCACGAAACTCGGAGTTACAGCAAAATCTTGCCTCTTTGATATTATATATATAACTAGCTCTACACTTTATGTGTATTGAGCACTCTTTAATGGGATCAGCTACTTCCTCATACAATTATAAATWAATAAATAAAAACAAACAAACAAACACAAAACAAAACAAATCGAACAAGAAGGAAAAAATTACTACAATTTTATACTTACTATAATTACATTATTTTGAAAATATTCAAAAACAMTTCATAGAATTCTAAGATTGTAAAAAATTCAAGATTACATTTAATTTTTGACTTACATGAGATTTCTCCAGTACATCAATAAGAATGGGTGGAAGCTAAGAAATAAATAAATAAATTCATTGAGAATTATTAATCCAAGCTCTTTTATTTCATTAGAAACTGAATTGTTTCAACTATAAAAAAAAGAATTGTTATAAAAAAAGAATTGATCAAGCTGAGAAATTAATATCGAGATGAAAATATAAAAAATATTAATGTGTGTAAATCCAAGYTCTTTTCCTAGTAAAAATTGAAATATTTCAACCAAATTGAAGATTGGAAGCAAAGAGATGAATATCAGTATTAAAATAAGGAATTTTATGTTTATATACATGTATATCCAAGTGCTTGTACTGAAGTTTACAATTTTATTTCAAYATTGTTACACTGAAGCAATTTATCATTTGAAAAGCTGGATTTTGTCAGCACATCTCAATTAATAACACAACACACCTGATACCCCAATTTTATCTCCCTTATCCCYCATAATCCGTGATTACATCTTTTTAAATAATGCTTCAATTAAATGGGTTCATAATACCTCTTGTGTATCCAGATAATCCAGAAACTCTGACTCCTAGTTCATCATGGTAATAAAAATTAATTAATTACAACAGTATTTCTGACTCCTTACTTACTTAAAAATTAAAACACAAAGTTTTATAGAAGCTGCACACATGTCTGTGTGTTGAAAGATTCATGATAATTAAGATTTTTTGATTACCTCATATGGGAGCTTGACTGTCTCTGATTCTAGAAAAAAATATAAATGAAAGGCATTGTATATTTGTTTTTTGCTGTTTTTTTTAACATGGAGATTATTTTGAATCTTTTCAACAATGAACATCTTAAGGGCAAACAAATTAAAACAAACAACAAGTTAAACTTAATGTTTTATAATTATACCAGTTCCATTTTTTCCCTTAAGCATCAAGGAATACCCTTCATGATTTGAATAAAGATTGACCACAAGTGTTGAGAGATTATCTTGGAGGACAACTTTTTCTAACAAATTCACCCCATGGCAAAATCTCTACAATAGAAAAATGATATGTAAGTGGCAAGAATTTGTTCTATTACACAAATTGAACTTTGAATAAAAAGGAAAACAAAACTGCTTTTACTAGGTAATATGTAAAATGAACTTAATGGGTTAACCTGTGTTGAACCCTCAATTTTTAAAATATCAAAAAAAAATCTGGATTTAACAAAGGTTGGTTGAAGTATGATGCAAACAAATAGTCCAATTCCTTTTCATTAAGGTAATAAATAACTCAATATTATAAAGATATTGAAATTGTCTACACTCAATAAAGATCTCAGTTGTTGATAGACAGCGTTCTGTGTTTATCTAAAGAGTTTTCCATCAACATCAATAATTTAGAGCCAAAAATTATCATTAGACACAATCACTATAGAAATCTTTCATTTTTTTCTGTTCTTGCATGTCCCTAAATCCAGCTTAATAAAAGCTTATCTTCACATTGAAAGAAATGTGTCTAGTAGGTGGAGACTGTAGATACTTATTTCTAAGGGGTTTTATCTTCAAGATGTATATCCACACACTATTTAGGTACATTTTACTGTAAGTTAATCTCTACCTTATCCCGTGGAGCGCCTTCATATGACTCAATGTAACAGTCGACAAGTCTGTTGTCAAGTGATTGCCTTAAACATAATCATTAAATATTCACATGGAGTCAGATGGATGGCTGGTTTGGTGAGTGTAATCTTAAGGATGTAACAATTAAGCAARAGATGATCTCAAGACATGCAATCATCTTTTTATCACCCTTATAACCTATTCTTTTCTTCTTTATACTTGTGTTTTTTTTCTGTTTTTTGTTTTGCTTTCTCTCTCTCTCTTTCTATTTCTTGCCTTCATTGTAGTGGGGCTCAAATGCTTGTTTCACATAACATATTTGCTAAATGCCAATTTGCTTGCTTATAGACAAGCAAGCGGGCATAATGTTCAAAGGAGGGGGGAGCTATAGTCTTCCTTGATCCCAACATTTTATTAAAGTTTCTCCCTTGTTCTTAAAAAAATAAACAATCTATCACTGTAAGCTCTCAACATTTTCCCCTAAATCCCAAAATCAATGGACATTGCTCCCTGCTCCTTTAAYCCCTACAAATATATAATTCACGTTTGATTGAAATACTAACCATTTCCCTGGGCTTGGCCTTTTTCTTTTCAGTGCTTTTTTACAGGCGGCGTTAATTACATCCTGGAAATATACACATGAATATATTTCATTATACTGGGTATATGTAGGGTACTGTTTGAGGAAGTGAAAATACTTGTGTTGACCGGTGAYATGAAAGGAAGGAAGGAAAACGGCTGATTTCTCACACATTTTAAACGTAACTTTCTGTACAGCACTCAGCATTAGTACAATGGATTATTATTATGGGTATCTATTTTCTTTTCAAGATTGTTTTCAAGTTAACGATTGTTGTTGTTGTTATTGAACTTATTTTTAAAAAAAATTGCTGAACATCATAGTTAATAATGATTAATTTCTTAAAGTGAAGTGGATTGTTCACATTTTGACCTGATAAATGTACAACAAAATGCTCAAAGACTGCCAAGACTTTTATATTAGATTAGAAATCAAATATGGATACATAACAGACAACCAGATATAAACTTCGTACTTCTCAACAGATGTAAACTTAGTTATCATGGTTTGATCTTTGTATGAAATCAACAACGTGCAAAATAAAGATGCGAGATTTTATTTATAAGAACAAATGATATCAACGCATCGCATTCCATATAATCGAACACATAACTATGAATAATATTTAATCACAGTAAACAATCCAATAGGTTAAAACTTGAGCAGAACAAACATGAATACAGTAAATTTGATAAGCAAGCTTAACTTAATTTATTGATCAGTGTTGATCATCATGCACATATTCTTCTTATTCGCGAAAATATTMGATCGTAAAGGTCAAGAACCTTTTCATTAATTATTCCTACATTAGTACCTGGATGTTGTTCTCAGCTTCGACCGCCAACATCTGAGAAATGTAAAAGAAAAAATGAAGAAATGTACTAATAGAATGCCGCCATTGACGGCGAACAACACTAATGACCAGTCTCACACGGAAATTATAGACGCAGGGAGCCCATAAAATATGTTTTTAACCGCATATGTGGGCATGAAGCTGTTAAAATTTAAAATTTTAGGTTTAGTTTTATTTTCAAAGTGTTTGTTGGTTGTTGTTGGCGTTTTTATTTATATTTTGGTTTGGTTTGGTTGTTGCGCCACATTTGTACTTGACTTTCTGGAAACTCAGTATTCTGCGTTGGAAACTGACTTGAAAAAGATGAAAAATAAGATTGGACAACTGCTACTATTGATCAGTTTCTCTCAACATATCACCAATCCATCCAAAGTAAATCAGTTTTGTTATYAAAACGACAGCAACTGTCCTTCTTTTTATACAGGYWATCTATTAATTTATTTTGCGCAAAGCTATTTTTGATTTTAAAAGGTCGTGAATATCTATCTACTCAGTCACATGACTCATTATTTGACGCGGCGCGTTATGTTTCTTTATCAAGATTCGACTGCCTTTAGGAAAATAATACGATGTCATAAATTTCAATTTAAAACGGAATGAGGCTCTTGAGGACTCTATACTATCGATCTTTTATGYACGCCGTTGATCGAGTCGCCGCCATTTCCTCCTTTTTGACGATTCCTACTAATTGCTCACTGATCCCACAACAATTTCGGCATCATTAAAAACGAATTCCATTCACCACTTTCGTTTTAAAGATTCATGATTTTGATAAATGGCTCAGTGTAGAACACGAGATATGAAAAGTTATATCTTTTTACAAACTTAGCGCAAACGAAGACTGAAGATCGTTTAACACGAAAAACAAACAGTCAACATTTAATTAAAAGCATGGTGCCACACATTCTGATCCGCCCTTTCGTTTATTCAACGAGGAAAATTGCACAAATACATCTGTGTACTCATTTTAGTCCCATACCGGCACTCTTTCACTCGTTGGTCTTTCGTGCGCCGTGGCWTTTTCGATATTGCATTGCTTATTCCGTTTTCATTGAATTATGTAAGAGCGTTTGGCGTGCCTTTTGGCGGTTAAGTCAGTGCTTAAAAAGGAAAAGAAATGGAGGCTAAATTAAACCCTTTCAAGTATTTTGTATACGCAACCATTTCCGGATGAAAGTGAAAAGGACGGCTGTCGTTCACGGGACGACTGCGCAAACGAAACTAACCTTTCCAACAAGACAGCGCTATCAATTCAGCTTCAGTGTAATAATTTCCCGTGTCGTTTCGTTTTAACTTCCAACCGCTTCACACTGAGATCTTGGCGCCAAATTCACGTTCCAAGATGTCTGGCGACATTTTATTACTCATCTCAGTTTCAGTAATTTTTGATCAAATTAGAAAAGTAGAAGCCGAGAATATGATGTTGATCGATAATAGAGTAGTTCCGCACTGCACGCGACGGGAAAGCTGCCACCATCCAAATGAAACATTGTTCGTGCCCCTCCTAAAAGAAGCGTATATATCTTGATGAAAGATTATATAATGAAACTTTGGCACCTTTAAAAACTTAAACATCCCGTTCACTATTATAATATATTTTTCAAACTCGTCACGTTCATGATATTCGATAAAGCATTCCTGTTTCAACAGTTGGCAATCGCACAGGCACATTTCAGGTCATTTCACGCTGCCCTGTGAGTCTGTCAAGACATCGTTAAAGAACGATAGTACTGGTAATTTTCCTTTATTCATAATTTGTAAATCTGGAATGAATGGAACAATTTATTACGAATAAAATGTTATAAAATCTGAACTATTAATTTATTAACTGCGTAGTTTTATGCAAAGAAAAAATGTCTCAGAAGTAGTTAGTATATGAAAGTAGATAGGCAAAGAACTATTAGTGAGTCCTGAGACAGTGATTCTGACGCCTATGCACTCCATGACATCGTTATAGCAAAACATTATTTCCTTCAAATTATCCAGAGGTGGTTTAAGCGATTTTATAAGGGATTCATAGATGCGGTGTGTGTGTTGGAAGGGAGGGGGTGGTCAGAATGACGGCAAATTTCTATCTAAAACAAAAACAGACTATTTATACTTGTGAAGTTTAAAGCAATTTAATATTTAGCGTTAATTGTAAAAAAAAGAATCATCAACTCCATCAAAAATATCCCTGTTTTATATATAAAGTTATTTGTACATATAAAGTTATAGAATCGTGTCTACAAAGAACCAGACTCCACTATTTCGAAACCGCAATATAATAACAGATTTTTCAATATTAAAAATATCATGTCAAGTGGGCACCAGTATCCGTCATCTACATTAATGATATTTCGATAGTGTGAAAAATATGAAGCGATATCAAAGAAGRACAGAGTCGTAATGATGACACAGTCTAACCGCTACCAGACCTCTGGCAATGTCGGTGGATAATTCAAGGTGACAGACGCGCTAGTCGTGTGGCTAGATCGTGGCTCTCGACTAATAATTGATCACGTAAACAAACTGGTTTGGCGTTTCAGTTTTCATTTTTCATTCAAAAAAGGATTGATAAAAGATTTAGCCCTCGTAATCAAAAATCTTGATGTGGGAGTTTGAAACGCAGCTATTTTTTRCGCAGCACTAAACGCGCAAAACAGTCATTGATAGGCTAATCGTTGAGTTGGGGGCTTTCACCAGTAAACTGGCGAAAATACAAGCTTAATTTTTGATACAATTTGATTGTACAACTGGAATTACCATCGTACTCACAGTTCCTGACTTATAAACGTTTTTCCCAATAAAACTCGCGCGCGTCACTTGCCTAAACACACCACCCATTAGCATCCTGAGCAGATCGTGAGGAAAAATAAAATCAAAGAGGAAATAAAAACTCGTTGAGTTTGTTGAAATGACAACTGCAGTATTTGAGGAGCTCAGAAAACGTGGCGCCGGTGAAAGAATAGCTAATCGACCTCTCAGATCTAAAAAAGGCATACGCAGCCCCGCTTTTGGCTTCCTATGCCGAAAAGGGCTCGAATTTCTTGAAGTTATATGCTTCTTGAAGTAAGTTTACTTTAAAAAGGTAAACTAGAAGTGTCGTACACAAAGAGTTAAAGTGTTGAATGYTTGAAGAGACTCTGGTTTTCGCTACAATTAGACGGCGTTTATGCCGTATAGCTCGCGACTCCAAAGATCTGCTTATCAAAAAAGCATCTTTCATTTTCATCATATTTTAGGTAGACCGTCAAGTCAACAAGCATTAGATAAATCCTGGTTGGACCTTTTGTTTGCTTGCCTATCGAATAACCTAGGGTGCCCATGTTAAACAACATTTTCAATGAGCGAATCAACGGGAAGCTAGGTCTTAGCGAAACAAAGAGACAGAAAGTCCAGCTAGGGAGGGGACCCACGTCAATATAAGGTCATTTTTCTTACATGTTGGTTTTAACATACTTTCTTTTATTGATAGAAAATTTTTAAAATCTCATTGAAATATTAAAATTTTCTTCATTGATTCCTTTTATTGAGAAGAAAAAATGAAATATATGAAAATAAATGGAAAACAGAAATTTATCCCCTCCCCCCAGCGTATAAAGAAAACAGGAGGAACGCCAAGAGAATCGCGTAGTAAGTCGCCTCCGTGGCCCGTAAGTCTAGACAGAGCGCCCTATGATGGCGTTTGAGTTAGGATGAAGAGTATATATTTTGGCCAAATCTCTGCTGCTTAAGCATGGGAAATTATCCGGGAACCAAGCGAGAGCAAGTCGAAGTAAGCCCAGAAATGCTGGTTTGTCGATTAAAGCGAGCTGCTTACAAAGGATCGAAGAAAGACTTACGTGAGTTGATCAAAGCGGGCGCCCCAATTGATGGTTGCCATAAATACGGTAAAACTGCTTTACATGAAGCTGTACGACATGGCCAGTATAGATGTGTTGAAATACTCTTAAAGCACAACGCTAACGTTAATATTGCCACGTAYGATGGATTGACTCCTATTCACGAAGCAGCCGAACAAGGCTATGTTGATTGTTTAGCTGCTTTGCTCGAACAAGGAGCACACGTAAATGCTTCTACAAGAAGTAACTGGACTGCTCTACACTACGCCGCTCGGAATGGTCATATACAATGTTTAGAATTGCTTTTGAAACATGGAGCCCATGTAAATGCGACCGCAAATGGCGGTTGGAGGCCTCTCCATGTTGCAGTACGACATGGACATATTGCTTGTGTTCAGCTACTTCTTCAGTTTAAAGCAGAAGTTGATCCTCCGCCAGTCCCTGCATGGCGGGTAAGTACGCTCGCATTTACTTATATTTACTGTTACAARYGATTTTTTACTCATCCTTAGTGTCACTTCGAAAACAAATGTACTTCCACACTGTCGTTGACTGTGTTTTGGCCAAATTTTTTTGTATTTGTTTAGTATTGGCATGCTGACTTTGTATGTGCTGCAGGTCGCAGTTGGGGGGAACTGCTAGACCTTAAAAGAAGTACTTTCAACCTCACAGTCAASTCATTGATTCCCTAAAACTATCGAAATACTCAGGTGGCCCTCGAATGTGTTTTGATTTAACTTCAACATTAATCGCAGATTGTTTTGGCGAGGTAGAAAGGGCTTTCGCTCAGATCACGAAACGCTGTCGAAGCAAGAGGGCCTTTGACTCGTGTCTTCTTTTCATAATCTAGTAATCCCATAATATTAATTGTAGTTTTTCCGAAGTTATGTTTACGTTGTTAAAGGTTGTTGTCACACTGGGAGATCCTAGGTTTCTTGCATTTTGTCCGCCACAGCACGCCTGGGCAAAGCCACGAGGCGAAGTCCAAGATCGATCGAAGATTGGAAATGTGTGACCATCGTGAAAACTGTCACAGTTCCCCCACTGGGATTCTCGATTAATTCTTGATCTTTTATAAGAGTTTAGTTACGAGGATACCCTAATCTCATCGTGTTTCGGTAGTTTGTTAGCTTTTCAAAAACGTTTCTTCTTCGAGATCTCGATCGTGTCAAAAGACTATAGACCTTTCGAAGCCATGGCGTTCGAATTTGCTCGATGAGGGTTTCGAATCATCTTACATCGAAAAAGACGTGTGCTCATTTGGACTATTGAGTTTAATTTGTCTCAGATTTATTCAAAGCTAAAAATTCCCTAAAAGAAAGCGCTCGACTATTAAACTAAGCCGGGTTTTCCAGATGTAAATTTCACTGTCTGTGAAAGTTGTGGACGTCACGATAACTTATCACAACACAGCGAATAAAATTCAATATTTAGTGTTTATCGACCATCTTTTAGTATTCTCTTTGAGGGTTAGCGGAGCTCGAGTATGTCTATTCTTCGTCCTCTTTTTTTTCCACCGCTTACTCCAGCTGTCAAAATGATGATTAATGACTTCAAAGCGGTCAGTACCGGGGCAAGATTTCTAGTAAATTGTGAGTTTTTGTTAGCTAACTCGATTAACTGAAGTTGTTGGCCAATATCGCATCATCAAAATTCACAAATGAGAACCCAGAATGATCGGATCTTTTCTGTCATCAAATAGCAGTCGTATTATTATACCAAACAATTCAAAGCTTTTCGGTATTTGAATTTTGTCATCGCTATTGGGCAAATCAAATTAGAGAGGTTGAATTCTCAGTTGTGGTATTTTGTGACTACTTAGTAAGCTTCTAAGCCTCTAAATAAAGCCAACAACAAGCAAAGCAAAGAAAATATGGGTGGTATCGCAGTCCTAGATGATTATCTTGGCTATCCATTGTAAAGTCATTTGGACTTTCATATCAAAATGATTCCGTGCTTATCAACCTTRGTAAACCCTCACGCTATTCCTAGATATGCCCGCTTCTCTTACACATTATTATAGAACAATGCTTAACCCACTTGATGGGTTTTAGATATCAGTTGATGTTCTATGTCTTGTCAAGCATGAGTTGCAGCATCATGTCAAGCAGGTTCTATGTCAGAAAACTTGAGGGTTGTGCTTGAGTAACAGTAGATGTTGCCCTCAATTATTTGCCCTTAGGACATACTGTATTGAAATTAACTTGGCTAGCACAGAACAGTCTTAACCTTCAAGAAGTATCTAGCTCCAGCAATGTTCTTTCACCTTTTTGTCCTTCTTAATATGGGCTAAGGCACTTCTCTTTTTCTTCCAAGTCTTTTCACTAAATGAATTYAGCAGATTCAGATTCATGTGTTTGTGATTTATATTGTGGTGCAAATGATTTGGAGGCCATCTGTCTCAAGAACAACTACTCCTTGCCCTGTATTGCAGACAATATGTTATGTATCAAGGACTAGGAAAATTGAAACTTTTTTTTTTTATTCTCAACTTGTCTTCAAGGTTAATGTTGCCATTACCCTAACCTATTACTTAGTAAGCTAGATTGTCAACTAGCACATCATTTCTACAGAGCTTTAATTTCTTTTCCATAGTTTTGTTTGCATTACATTTTCCCCTTCATATTTCCTTTCTATATACTATGCAATGTATGTCCAAAAGATTGATATTTACTTTGCTTCTTTATGGTGTTTGAGAGATTTTGCCAGTGATCTTCTTTCACGATTGTATTTCTTTCCTGCTGAAAGCACAGCTACACATGCTGTTTAAGCCATTGTAAATGTAAAATGAAGTTTGTCTGAACAATTTTCTCATACTGTGAAGTCTCCAAATGTGTGTTATTATCACTGTAGTTTAGCACTTATGTTTGTCTAGTCTTTTAGTGACATAGCTGGGGATTACTTCATTTACTTTCCTTGCAGTAGATCTTACAAAAGGTTTGTTTGGCCAAAATTCCATATTTTATTTTAGTTATTATTAGAAAAACTGTCAGAAGTCTTTTCATTGATCCATTTATTTGTTACTTAATCATAACATGAATCATATTTTTWTAAATTTTGGATTTGTCTCTTTGAAATAAGGAAAAATGAGAATCTTAATTTTCATTTGAACACAGTGATTGGGGTACTTTACTATGTATKATAATAATAACTGAAGGAAATCATYGTTTTGTTTTGTTTTTTGTTTTGTTTTRCATTATCTTTCAAAGTTATGGTGAACATTATGTCAATTCTTAATCAAAAGAGGTTTTGAAGAAAATCTTTCTTTGTCATTGCAGAACTTGACCTAATTATATGGCTTTTTTTACCAAAATTGTATAACTTCTTGAATATTATTTAGAAAAGCTTGTAATCATTTTTATGTTGAGTTTGCTATATGCAATAAACAGTCATTTGCATATAATTTATCACAATATTCTCAAATTCCCCTAAGGACATTCAGAATCTAAATGTGACATTTTTTGTCTTGGTTATATTTTGTCAGATCTGTAAGTATGAGTCAACGATATTTGACCAGCAAGTTACCATGGCATTGACTAATATCCATGTTCAGGAAGTTAAAATTACCCAAAGCTTATTATTTTTACGGAATTGAAAGTGGGATGACTRTGTGCATTATCTCATTTATCTCAAAATGTTCGAAACATTTGTTAAGTTTTCATTTTATCCCCATTGTGGACAAATGTTWAAAAAAATGTGATTGACAACAACCTTACTTATATGTACACATATTGTATACTTTTTCAGATAATGTTAAATTAAATTTTGTTTTACAGGAACTTTTGTATGTTATTGCATCCTGAGAATTGAAAAAATTTAGTCTTAGATGATATTTAATCTCTTTATTATTATTCATATCCTCAATAAGAATTTTTGTTTAACTATCTTTAGAGTCTAAATATTCTTTTGTGGTTGTGTTGTTGACAAATAATTCATGAAAATAGTRAGATTAGAAAGTCTGTTACACATTTATTACAAGGGCCTTGCATTACAGAATGTCCCTTACACAACATGTACTGTAAATATAATGATGATTATTCTTCRCCATGTAAATTCTGCTAAACATTTTACTTTCTTTTGGTCTTTTTTGTGTTAAAAAAACTTCTTTATGTTTTATTATTTAAGGTAAAACAGTTTGTGTCGTCAGCTAACTAGTCTCCAAGTATTTACACTGTTCAATATGTTGTGTCATCTCTTTATTTTTTCTTTATTTCTATTTCTTGAAGTTTTCATTTGGTAAAAAAGGGGTTGAGGGGTCGRCACTACACAATCCACCCCCTGGTAGATTTTTTGACATTTGGAGATACTTTTTAATTAGTTATCTTATTGGTAGCACCCTGCTGTGTAGATGTGATAACTCACTTGGAAAGTTTTATTACTTAAAGTCACTGTACCTTAAACAGTCTAGTTTCCCACAAAAAATGAATTTTTATGCGTATATTTTGTGCAATACTCTTAATARATTGAAACATTATGATTACAACTTGTTGGAATAAGGACTTAMTAAACATTATTTTAATTGCTTCTTGGATGCTGCATACAAATAGTGTTTCATTACTGTTTCTTATTGTCAACACATCCTATGATACTTTGCTTCTATTCAAATCAGCTTTAAGATAATGGTTGTTAAACATTTGTTAGAATGGTAGATAACTCTATTAATGAGCATTAAAAATGATAAATTCAATGGGGATTAACAAGCAATAAGTAGCAAATTTAACACTTGAAGTGCTTGATAATATGGGTAAAAACCCCTCTTTAGGTTTCTCTCTAWCTTAGAATACATCAACCTGTATATTATGAGCATTTCAGGCATTTGTTTAAGTGAGTAAGTTTGTTTTAACATCTACCATATTTTTGTGTCAGCTAAACCAACCCAAGMCAAATTATTCACCAACTAAACTAAGGTTTACATCCTTATAAATAGTTTTTTTTTTTAATCTCATTGGTGATTTATATATGCACTAGTTTCTAGACAACTAAATCTAGAAAGTACTCTGCGTATTTCATTGTTTTAGCAATACTTTGCTTTAGTATTGACTGCTTTACATATAGTAATACATTATAGATATATTATATTGTCATTTATGAAGGATTTTAGAATTTTAATTCTATGAAAGAAATCCTTGGTTGTTAATGATTGGTAAAAGTAGTTRATTCCTAAACTGTTACAAATGATGTACACTCAGTCAGTTTTGGAAATGCTTCAAGACTCMACTATTACCCAAAACTAATCACTMAAGGAATAGTGATTGCATTGYAGTGAGTTATATGTTGTATTATGATAGCTCATCACATTGTCAAATAAAAGATAACCTTTTTAGCTTTCCCATCTATCACACTCCTTTATTATAAAATATTATGTGTCTGTTGCTTGTAATWCAGATTGTCTAGCATATAAGCTCAGTATTTCAACTTCTGCGACACATTCAGTGAATGTAATACAATCAAGCCAATATTCTTCATTACTTTTATGATAAATGTGCACTATATGTTGATTTGTTATACTAGACAATATGTCTGTAAAAAAAAAAGATCTCTATAAACTACATGACGTTGATATCTAGATAGCCCATTATTCATCATTGTAAATCGTATTTGGGTTAGTCTATGCCTTAAATGTAAAGTGTTTTYGTCTGTCGTTATAGATAATGGACATAATGTTTTACTCCAAAATACTGTTTTATTGATGATTATCATGGTTCATTACACCACTTCTGTGATTACGAATTTTATTCTGAAATTATCTCAAACTTATTCAATCTTCTAGTGGCAAATTTGAAATTAAATTAATATTATTTTTGAAGAGTATATTGTATGTTTTTTGTCTTYCCAAGAAGATATAGAAAATCTATGTTGAAGTCCAAAAAATGTAATATTGATAATGGTTTATGACCATGGGCACGTTCTTGTTAAAAGTCAGGAGGTGACATGTTAAGCAAACTATTCAATTTTGCATTAAAAATTGAAATTAAAGAGTATGAGTCCCACAGAGYTGGATGAATCTTATTTACCTCCTGCTGAACAAAAAACACATCCTGTTTGCTGTCCTTTTGACCTTCTYGCCACCCACTAACATAATCTCTAACATCTTGTGTTCATGTCTTTGGAATGTTATGATGTTGGCCAGTATTTCAGCKTTYGCTCTTGTCTTGTCCAATTAGAGTAGTCCCTTTGCATGTTTATAGTTTCTTGTTTTAGTTTTTTTTCTTTGTGTGGGATTGTTATATTTCAAAGCATTACACAGTTGTTACTTTCAGTTACTTTAAGAAGATGCCATTTGAAGATAACTAGACATCAGTGCAAAATATAAAATACAAATATTATACAAAACACACTGCTGATTGTGTTCAAAGATGTGAATGCAAATATGTTAACACAAATATTTTTCATTGRCAAATATTATGTCATCTTGTTTAATACAATGTATAATACCTTGGAGTGATGAGTAAATTGCTTAATTACTATTTGTTTTCTGTATGAWAATCCTTCTTAGCTGTTTAGTCTATGATGTGATATGCATTCTGGTTTGTCCATGCTTGCGACAGATGATTAATTTTTCATTAAACTGAAATTTTTGTGATTTTTTTATATGTACTTCTTATAATAAAAGTAATATTTGGATAAATGMTGGAACCACRAGCTTAGGCAGATCCATGATTCGTCACTGGCATGGTCCTTACATGCAATATATTCACATGAAATCACATGGCATCAATAAGATCTTGTGGAATCTTTTGTTTTAAATCAAAAAGAATCTAAAATCCTTGAGATAAAGTGATTAAGTTTACTTAAATGAATTTGCACACWGCATCAACAGTCTGACTTCTGCAAATTTCTATTTACTTGACTTTGAAAGGGGGTTGTAACAGGTATGCCGTGTACGCCCGACCCCTCCTTCCAAACAACAACACCAAAAAGCCCTAGATGAGAATGATGATGTCCTATAGTCAGGGTCTATTAAGTGAATTGACGTGTATGTTGTGTTTTAGGTCCTTCAAGTTCCCCTTCATCACGCTGCAGAGTATGGCCACTTAGCTTGCTTAGAAGCATTATTAAGGCAAGGTGCAGATGTTAACTCTGCCACATCTGAAGGGTGGACGGCATTGCATTCCGCAGCTTTGTATGGCCATACACCATGTGTAGAAGCTTTGATCAGGTAAATATGTTGCAATTAGAAAGTTGTGTACAGTATGTCGAAGTATTGATCTGATAAATATGTTGTCATTTAAATGTTCCTTTCAATATGTTACAATTAACACATTTTGTTAAATATGTGTCATCTTGTTAATCTATAAAGTATTCTATAAAGTACCAGTAAGCTCTAAGTAAGTAAGCAGTAAGCTCRCCACCATTAGGCTTTCATAAAATCATTAAAATCCAGACGATTTTACAATTTTAAAATCATTAAAATCTAAGTGTATTTAATAACTTCAAGAGTTTTTGCGCAAAAATAATATCGAATAAAAATCTTGTTAACCAACCAAGAATATTTATTTATTATTATTATTATTGTTTGACTTTGACTTTATTATTAATTTGCGGCTTTTTTAGATTTGGTGCTGATGTAAATGTCAAAACTATATGTGTAACACAAGGGACATCATACAATGATACACCATTGCACTTAGCCGCATGGCATCATCATTACCACTGTTTAAAGAGACTTGTCCAAGCAAATGCTAACTTATGGACTAAAAACTGTCTGGGCCTGACACCAGAACGATTTATTACAAGGGATTTTCGATTGCGAGAATGGCTTGAAAATGTACAGAAACAACCTCGATCCTTACAACTTCAATGTTCGGCAAGAGTAAGAACTTTACTACAACCAGATAAGACCAAAAATGCATTAAAACTACCCCTGCCTGCACATTTACTAAGACTGGTATTATTTGAGCAAGACGTCAAGGTCCTATAGCAGAAATTTGAAATATAAAATTGAAGTTACTATTTTGGTGGCATTTGTTGTGAAGAAGTTCAAATAATGGAATTCAAGGGAATCTGTATCCAGGCTTTATTATTTATTGCATTGGTAGAAATACAACATGGTGTCCAGAAGGTATATTGTAGATTTTAACTCTTTAAGTATCGTCTGAATAAGTTTATTTTGCATTTCCTTTTRCTGTCAGTTGTAGAATGATTTTCACTTAACTGTGTTACACTTTTATTGGCATTTTACTGTATTTGGTTATTATATCATATTGATAGACTTTCCATAGTCAACTGAAAATCACTCTACTAAACTAGTTTTTTTTCTCTCTAAGTTTTGTCCATTTCAGACAATGAATCAAAAATCTGTTGCCCTCATGATTTAAAAATATGCAAAAACCATCATTTACATTGCTATGCAACCAGATGAGATAAGGCTACAATTACCCTTAAGTGCTTCGGGGTAACTGTTAGTTGGTTAGGGAAAATAATACCAATGGATTTGATTGATAGTAGTCTGTTGCTACTTGCATGTCGTGAAGGTTGTCTGCACTAGTCGCATAGCAATGTAAACAATGGTAAAATCAACATAAGCAAATAGCAATGCTGAAGGTATTGCAAGTGCATGTGCTAAATCCATGATTTACTATTACTACTAATAATATTGCTAAATAGCGTTGATAAGAAAACAAACGAATGAGAACCATTAGCAACTATTTTTACTAATTATGTTTCATGGATAAAGTGTGTTTACCCTACAAATGCTCTATGTCTGCATCCCATAATCCAAAATGATAGCCCTGTATAATGTGTCAAACTGAAAAACAACTTTTGTTTAAATGCTTAAGTGTTGAAAATCCACCTCTAAAGTCTAATCTAAGTACACCATTATAACATCCTGTCTTAATCTCTGATACAGACAGATTGCTGTTATTGAATGTAGGGAGAAATATGATGAAACATTGAAATGCAAAAAGGAAATATTCAGATAGATAACTTACACACTGCATTGAATAGTAGCAAATACAGTGTATTCCATATGTCCATAAAACAACTATAATCTAGTCGAAGGATCATAAGTTTGATTCATAATTTAATCTACTGAAACAGTGGTCAGTWGCACTGACTCATGTTTAGCTGTATTTTAGTTTTTTTATGTTATGTAAGTGAAAATTCTTTGTTTCGTGATCCCTTTATGGTTGATAACTGAGCATTATTTTAAAATGTGTAGTTGTTTTATGGATATGTGGTAGAGGAGTGCTTTTCATTAACCCGTGAAATAGGCTTTCTAACTCTTTATTTTTGTGCTTTTCTTTGTCTTTTCACATTATTACACTTCGACTATTATACTTTATTTCACAGGTTGATAAAAGTTACCTTTCTGCATGGCTTTTATTTRATATATCTAGAGTGCAACTGCTAAACCATTACAACTTTTCAATATTAATTTATTCAAGTTCATGGGAAAAGATTTTGGTTGCTTTACTTTAAAGTGCGCATGCTATATCATAAGCAGATTATTTTTTTTTGTACTGTAATACTTTAACTGTTGTTCACCAAGGATGAATAATAACTGTCCGTGGATATTGGTTCTTGTTCGTGAAATACTTACTAGTCAATAATATTCTTATTTTTACGTTGACTTATTAGATTTTTCACGGATTGTGTACCATTACTTTTATTAGTAAAATATGATGCCATCAAAGTAAATGTATCTTAGATATTTGGACCTCTGTAAGAAGGACATGTTTTATTGCAAGATGGATGCTGGTTGCTACATAGACCCTGGTCTCTCAATACATCATTACCAATTAGAAAAGTAAGCCAAAACCTTATGGTAGCGGTTTCGTTTGTTACGTGTAAAGTCTGGTTGCCAAATGGGGACTACAATTGTAGCCTCTATGTAGAAACAGTTGGCTTCTTTATTAGGGTTTTGAAGCTGGCCTTAATTGTTTTAAACAACCGATGTTTCATCAGTCTGAGTGAACTCTTTCTCAATTCCGTACTCTTTGTCAATTCTGAATCTCGTTAATGATGTTTAGCYTCCGTAGCAGACGTAGAACGTCTGCTACGGAGGCTAAATGATGTTCACCTATTTCGAGTACGCTTGTCGCTCCAAAAATGTTTATGCTACGCCCAGAGAGCATTGTGGGAATACCTTCGTTACGTGCGTATAACACTGAGTAGATACAGAAGTCGGTATTTTCAACGTGTTAAATACCCACCATATTTTTCGGTCTCACTTTTGTGTCTTTAATGTTTTTGGAGTGACAAACTTAATTGAAGCAAGGTTATTTAAAGGACGGCTTTTCTCAAAACCCGAACGATTGTACTTCACCAATATCGCTTTCTCAACTTGCCGCAAAGCACTTAATGTCAAAATTGTCAAACCTAAAACTGCAATAACATGTCCTACCTACAGTTAAAAATGATGTTAAGGATTTTCCGCGACAACTCATTTTAATTTAGYATTCCACAAAACATATATTATTTCTAAATAAATAGTGTAAAATGCAAATATTTGGTAAAAAAAAGATGTAATAGTATTTCATACTTTAAAAAGTGTTTCAAATACATGAATAGAATTGAACCAAATATTATAATCAAATCGTTCAGTGCATGTAAATGGTACACATCTTGAGGTACATGTGGTCGTTTGATTAAACCTTGTCACCACTCTACGTTACTGGACTTTGAAAGGGTTAACTTACCCACACTCCCTTTCGGTGTAGTTGCGYAGACGTGAAGCCGACTTGTGACAACTTTAATCAAAATGCTGTATATGTCTGGTGTTATAGCWACACGATGCTATAGAATTAGAACATTTTACACAGTTCAACTGTAAATAAGTCTAGAGTGGATGTCTTTCACTCATTGAACGGTGTCAATAATAATGATAATAACTTTACATTGGTAAGATTCATAGTCTGGTCTTGTTTCTTCGTATTCTTCTTATATTCYTTAAGGATGCYATAAATTTGTRAAACAAGGTATTTGGAGTGCAGCAAATGCATTTTACAAATAATTTTTCAGTACCATTTTACACAACTAAGTGTGCTTTTGCCCTACGGCAATCCACAATTTCTTCAAAATTCAAGATGGCGACCATATTAGTTGAGATATATTCAATGTCTATTCAATCTTTTGTTTCCTCCCGTAATTTGCGTATTGTGAGCCTTGTTTCAAATGGCCAACTGCTTTTCCGACTGAAAAACAGCATTTTTATGTAGAACAGAATAGTGAATTACGAAACATTTGGGCTGCGTGAGATATGTGMCTTGTATAACAAAAACTAAGCAGCCTTCATTGAGCCAGGTGGTTCTTTCACATGCAGTCAAACTCAAATTTGTTAAACRCTGAAGTACTTTCAAGGGATATGAAGGAAAGAKTTTGGGCACATTTGGAATTTTATTGAAACTAAGTCCTCCTTTTTGCCATTCCCTCGAGCAAATATGGCTCGAAAGTTTGGTTCCCTGCTTTCCTTTGTTGTGAGCGGATTTGCGTATTTATTCAGTTCATTTTTTTTATTTTCGATTTATGATTTTCGAGACTTGTGACTGTAGTTTAGTGCTTGGAGTGCCAATATTTCTTGGATCATACACTTTGATCTTTACGAATAATAAAAAAACCCATTTCTTCCAAACGCATTTGTGAATTCGTTTTAGCTATGAATTTATATCGTCAATCTGATATAATTTGGTCACAACGGGCAGAGCTTTCTCCTAGCATTTTTATTTAACTTATCATGATGATATTGCGATGAAAACTCGAAGACTGATTTTTCTTGATATGCAGTAAAACTGCTCTCGCTTGCAGGGGCGGTGAAAATTGTCCAAATGTWAGTTTCTCATATATGATTCATGATGAGTCAAGCACTAGCCTATTTAGTGAAGTACTTAATGAATAGAAAGCCTAACAACAGATCTATCTGTAAACAGGCTTGTTAGACTCGAGCAATCAAACGTAAAGGAGCCTTCAGCAACTCGTCAGACAAAGCGCCACGATGGCGSGCTCGTGATCATCTGATAACGTCATCGTTCGATCTCTTGSTGAATTATAGTTCGTATGCCGATACTAGAAGTTTCCAAAGTATTATATTTCCGCTGCAAAGTCGAAAAAAGAATTTTTAAAAAGGGAATTTGTGTATTGGTTTGTCCTTTAAAGTAGACAGTAAAATTCGGCGTATTCCCGTGACTGGTGAATTGAATGGGGGGCTTTTGAAACAATGACAGACGACTTACATCGTTAGTTTGGAGGTTCGATAAAGCACAATAGACAAAGACCTTGAACTTCAAAATCAACAAGCATTTAAAAAACCATGTAAGGGAAATAACAATGGCCTTTTGAAGATGCTACTGTGAGATAAAAACACTTAGTATTTTTATCCGTGAGATATTTGAACATGAAGCCATAATATCCGGCCATTTTCTCCATTTGGCTTCTGGGTATTTTGATAAAGACCTTTTATGGTTGTTTGTTGTGGTTCTATTAATCTGCAAAATGGGTATTTACACAATTATTCATAGATATAATGAGTAGTATTTTTAGGGAAAAGACCGCAATCTCCGTCTAAACAACCGGACCAACCACTTTGAAGCAAAGATCGGTCATACTACCAGGTACAGTGGTGAATTTGGCTCAACAGTGAAGGCGGATTGTCGTGGCTACTAGACCTGGAATAGATAGCTCAGATAGAGAATACAAATTGACAAAAAAGCATGGAAATTATAAATGGATGCTTCGTTGAACATGCGAAATAATAATATGTAGGTAAATATTTTCATGTTACACAAGCGGCTTATCATTAGTTTCAAGCTTGTGTTCATCTCTATCAAGTGTTGGCTTCAAACAAACGATAACTTGTTCCAACTGATTGATTCTTATCCTAGTCATACTCGGCGACAGACGACTGGTGCATTGATAGCGATGGGCGTGGCATACATGCGCTTGTTACTGCACATGCGCTAGTTTAACTAGGGGGCATTGATCGTCCCTAGGCAGTGGGCTGTCTAGAGTGGTACATCAATTATCGATATTGGGGCGATATGTATGTGAATATCGTCAATAATTTGGCCAATATGTCGGTAAATTGAAGCTGTCGAGATCAATGTCAGCGATAAAATAACGACGAGGTTATGCTATATTGCCAACCACTCAGACCCGTCTAAACAGCACATACTCAGCTGAGAATCGAGTGATCATTTAAGCATGTAACCATTAATATCAAAATCACAAAAATACCGGATACTGCGCGATTTTGTGGTCCGAAAATGCGGCTTTATAGCAAGCATATATCCTGGGATTGTAATCTACAAATGCACTTCCTTTCTGAAATAGATTAGTAAACGCGATCAAATCTTCTAAACGACGAGACTTGAACAAAACGGAGCAATGGGTTGTTCCGAGAGGGCGTTCCATGGTTCCGTTATACGTAATACGTTATTTCTCTTTGGAATCAATCAAGGCGACTGTTTGTCTGCAGCGTGCTCACAAAGGAATCTATACATAATTCAATAGTACCCACACAATATTGAATGGTATATCGACTCTAATTAAAAGTGAATGGAATCCGATTCCATGAAACAGTATCTTYATTTTAAGCAACCCTTAATCCTTACCAGCAAACTTTGGCGCACTTTGTTTTTCTTACTGCACACGCTGCKTKTATTTTTCATCGCTTGCTTTATTGACTCAATAATTTAGTAGATTATTATGGACATTTAAGGAAATGAAATTGGTGCCACGTAAGGTCAATGGGGAGGTACAGCAATAAACGGGAATGGWCGCGGCGAAGACTTCAAGGCTGGTGGTAGTCGACAGAAATGTCTTATCGCAAGACGAGTGTCTACCATGTTGTTGTATTTAGCTGCACCGATGATTACGTTTCGTATTTTAGTGCCGTTATCTCGCTATTACTTAAAGAATGATTCATTGACTCAGGTATGATTGTCTTATGGCGTCGGTTTTCTAGATCTCTTAAACGCACTGGTGCTTSATTCGAGTGTTTCATTTATAAACGACACGCGTCCAATATACCACCATTAATAGACCGATTGCTGTCGCCACTTCCATCAAGTTGCCATAGTAATCTTGACTGAAAATACCCCAGATCAATTGAGCTAAGGAGGGGACTGATTGTTCTCTTGTACGATGGTTTAAAGAGCTGAGTTTTATCACGCTGTCTTTTATGTGTTGATAGACTGTAGTCCCGTACCCAGGAACTTTTTTGAAACTTAGCCATAGGCGTTAATGCGTGGACTCAAGAACATTTTTTTGTAGCTTAATTCTTAATTTGATAAAACGAGTGTAAATTGATCAACATATTAAGAAACAACAGCCTATTTAGCCCAGACACATCAAGCCCTTATTGATTCCTCACAAGATGGGTCAGTGAGAAATGATTGAAAATATAGTCGCCCCCCCCCCCCTCCCCCTCCTTCAAAGTTGGAAGACTATCTAACTGTATACTTACTACTACGAGAGAAGCCGTGGTTTTTACGCCACAGAAGAATCAGAGAGCTGCAYATCAATTATGTCCCTCCGAAGAGGCTCATATGAGGCTCAAAATGGTGATATTTTTTGATGCTCTGCATTGGYAATCCAAGAATCTTTATCATAGATTGACTGACACATTGACTGGGTCCCACATAAKCACATACTCTATTTTGCYATTMTAGTTGTATCCACTGATGAAGCCTGAAAWGGCGAAACGTTTGGAATAAAGTTATCTTATGCCTTAAGAAGTATTTCACCAAAATTATTATTATTACACAAGGCATGGCAAACATCTACTTCTCTCTATTTGCTTTACCTATATTTTTAAGGCACATGTTTCAGAAATGTTTATAGTATGGCCGGACAGGCCGACTGAACTCTTGAGTGAGCATTGTTTCAAGAAGGTTATACTGATAGGAAAGCATAACAATTCAGGTGAATCATAGGCAACGTCCTGGTACCGTACTCSCCCCTCCCCTMCCCCCTCCCTTTGTACTCTYAGTTTCCTTCCTATTTCCTTGCTATTGCTTAGTCCGGCCTCATAAAAAGTAAAGTTAAATTTTATGTTCTAATGTACCTTTTTTTGGTATTTATGGAATAAAGAATTATTATTATTATTATTATTATTATTATTATTATTATTATTATTATTATTATTATTATTATTATT